GCTGGCTGCTGCGGGCTGCTGGATGGTGAACCACCAGGTCCCACATTCGGCGGCTGAGGTGCAGAATCAGGCGCCTGAGGCGCAGCATTCGGCGCCTGAGGTGCCGAATCGGGTGCCTTGCTGCCGCTGGCTGCCGCTGGGCTGCTGCGGGCTGCTGGATGCTGAACCACCAGGTCCCACATTCGGCGGCTGAGGTGCAGAATCAGGCGCCTGAGGCGCAGCATTCGGCGCCTGAGGTGCCGAATCGGGTGCCTTGCTGCCGCTGGCTGCCGCTGGGCTGCTGCGGGCTGCTGGATGGTGAACCACCAGGTCCCACATTCGGCGGCTGAGGTGCAGAATCAGGCTCCTGAGGCGCAGCATTCGGCGCCCGAGGTGCCGAATCGGGCGCCTCGCTGCAGCTGCCTGCCGCTGGCTGCTGCGGGCTGCTGGCTGCTGCGGGCTGCTGGATGGTGAACCACCAGGTCCCACATTCGGCGGCTGAGGTGCAGAATCAGGCGCCTGAGGCGCAGCATTCGGCGCCCGAGGTGCCGAATCGGGCGCCTCGCTGCAGCTGCCTGCCGCTGGCTGCTGCGGGCTGCTGGCTGCTGCGGGCTGCTGGATGGTGAACCACCAGGTCCCACATTCGGCGGCTGAGGTGCAGAATCAGGCGCCTGAGGCGCAGCATTCGGCGCCTGAGGTGCCAAATCAGGTGCCTTGCTGCCGCTGGCTGCCCCTGGCTGCTGCGGGCTGCTGGATGCTGAACCACCAGGTCCCACATTCGGCGGCTGAGGTGCAGAATCAGGCGCCTGAGGCGCAGCATTCGGCGCCTGAGGTGCCGAATCGGGTGCCTTGCTGCCGCTGGCTGCCGCTGGGCTGCTGCGGGCTGCTGGATGGTGAACCACCAGGTCCCACATTCGGCGGCTGAGGTGCAGAATCAGGCTCCTGAGGCGCAGCATTCGGCGCCCGAGGTGCCGAATCGGGCGCCTCGCTGCAGCTGCCTGCCGCTGGCTGCTGCGGGCTGCTGGCTGCTGCGGGCTGCTGGATGGTGAACCACCAGGTCCCACATTCGGCGGCTGAGGTGCAGAATCAGGCGCCTGAGGCGCAGCATTCGGCGCCCGAGGTGCCGAATCGGGCGCCTCGCTGCAGCTGCCTGCCGCTGGCTGCTGCGGGCTGCTGGCTGCTGCGGGCTGCTGGATGGTGAACCACCAGGTCCCACATTCGGCGGCTGAGGTGCCAAATCGGGCACCTTGCTGCCGCTGCCTGACGCTTGCTGCTGCGGGCTGCTGGCTGCTCCGGGCTGCTGGATGCTGAACCACATTCGGCGGCTGAGGTGCAGAATCAGGCGCCTGAGGCGCCGCATTCGGCGCCTGAGGCGCCGCATTCGGCACCTGAGGCGCAGCATTCGGCGTCTGAGGTGCCAAATCGGGCACCTTGCTGCCGCTGCCTAACGCTGGCTGCTGCGGGCTGCTGGATGCTGAACCACATTCGGCGGCTGAGGTGCAGAATCAGGCGCCTGAGGCGCCGCATTCGGCGCCTGAGACGCCGCATTCGGCACCTGAGGCGCAGCATTCGGCGCCTGAGGTGCCAAATCGGGCACCTTGCTGCCGCTGCCTGACGCTGGCTGCTGCGGGCTGCTGGCTGCTGCGGGCTGCTGGATGCTGAACCACATTCGGCGGCTAAGGTGCAGAATCAGACGCCTGAGGCGCAGCATTCGGCGCCCGAGGTGCCGAATCGGGCGCCTCGCTGCAGCTGCCTGCCGCTGGCTGCTGCGGGCTGCTGGCTACTGCGGGCTGCTGGATGCTGAACCACCAGGTCCCACATTCGGCGGCTGAGGTGCAGAATCAGGCGCCTGAGGCGCAGCATTCGGCGCCCGAGGTGCCGAATCGGGCGCCTCGCTGCAGCTGCCTGCCGCTGGCTGCTGCGGGCTGCTGGCTGCTGCGGGCTGCTGGATGCTGAACCACTAGGTCCCGCATTCGGCGGCTGAGGTGCAGAATCAGGCGCGTGAGGCGCAGCATTCGGCGCCCGAGGTGCCGAATCGGGTGCCTTGCTGCAGCTGCCTGCCGCTTGCTGCTGCGGGCTGCTGGCTGCTGCGGGCTGCTGGATGCTGAACCACCAGGTCCCGCATTCGGCGGCTGATGTGCCCAATCAGGCGCCTGAGGCGCAGCATTCGGCGCGTGAGGCGCAGCATTCGGCGCCTGAGGTGCCGAATCGGGTGCCTTGCTGCCGCTGGCTGCCGCTGGCTGCTGCGGGCTGCTGGATGCTGAACCACGAGGTCCCACATTCGGCGGCTGAGGTGCAGAATCAGGCGCCTGAGGCGCAGCATTCGGCGCCTGAGGCGCAGCATTCGGCGCCTGAGGTGCCGAATCGGGCGGCTCGCTGCCGCTGGCTGCCGCTGGCTGCTGCGGGCTGCTGGCTGCTGCGGGCTGCTGGATGCTGAACCACATTCGGCGGCTGAGGTGCAGAATCAGGCGCCTGAGGCGCCGCATTCGGCGCCTGAGACGCCGCATTCGGCACCTGAGGCGCAGCATTCGGCGCCTGAGGTGCCAAATCGGGCACCTTGCTGCCGCTGCCTGACGCTGGCTGCTGCGGGCTGCAGGATGCTGAACCACGAGGTCCCACATTCGGCGCCTGAGGTGCCGAATAAGGTGCCTTGCTGCCGCTGGCTGCTGCGGGCTGCTGGCTGCTGCGGGCTGCTGGATGCGGAACCACATTCGGCGGCTAAGGTGCAGAATCAGACGCCTGAGGCGCAGCATTCGGCGCCCGAGGTGCCGAATCGGGCGCCTCGCTGCAGCTGCCTGCCGCTGGCTGCTGCGGGCTGCTGGCTGCTGAACCACCAGGTCCCACATTCGGCGGCTGAGGTGCAGAATCAGGCGCCTGAGGCGCAGCATTCGGCGCCTGAGGTGCCGAATCGGGCGCCTTGCTGCCGCTGGGTGCCGCTGGCTGCTGCGGGCTGCAGGATGCTGAACCACGAGGTCCCACATTCGGCGCCTGAGGTGCCGAATAAGGTGCCTTGCTGCCGCTGGCTGCTGCGGGCTGCTGGCTGCTGCGGGCTGCTGGATGCTGAACCACGAGGTCCCACATTCGGCGGCTGAGGTGCAGAATCAGGCGCCTGAGGCGCAGCATTCGGCGCCTGAGGCGCAGCATTCGGCGCCTGAGGTGCCGAATCGGGCGGCTCGCTGCCGCTGCCTGCCGCTGGCTGCTGCGGGCTACTGGCTGCTGCGGGCTGCTGGATGCTGAACCACCAGGTCCCACATTCGGCGGCTGATGTGCCCAATCAGGCGCCTGAGGCGCAGCATTCGGCGCCTGAGGCGCAGCATTCGGCGCCTGAGGTGCCGAATCGGGTGCCTTGCTGCCGCTGGCTGCCGCTGGCTGCTGCGGGCTGCTGGATGCTGAACCACGAGGTCCCACATTCGGCGGCTGAGGTGCAGAATCAGGCGCCTGAGGCGCAGCATTCGGCGCCTGAGGCGCAGCATTCGGCGCCTGAGGTGCCGAATCGGGCGGCTCGCTGCCGCTGGCTGCCGCTGGCTGCTGCGGGCTGCTGGCTGCTGCGGGCTGCTGGATGCTGAACCACATTCGGCGGCTGAGGTGCAGAATCAGGCGCCTGAGGCGCCGCATTCGGCGCCTGAGACGCCGCATTCGGCACCTGAGGCGCAGCATTCGGCGCCTGAGGTGCCAAATCGGGCACCTTGCTGCCGCTGCCTGACGCTGGCTGCTGCGGGCTGCTGGCTGCTGCGGGCTGCTGGATGCTGAA